ATTCTAATTTTGAGTAGGATATCAAACAAGCCTGAGTTTTCAAAAAGCTGATGTTGACTACCTGTGGTAGTAAGCACATATGATATTATGACACATGGACAACAACTATTAAGAGCAACTCCAACTGTTGCCTTTGCTAGGGTAGGATGGAGCCCAAATTGCAGGTTGGCATTCCAGAGGGCCTAAGCTACCCGAGCAGCGGCTGGGTCCCAGCAAACTGGGCCAGCCCAAAGGCAAAAATAGCATGCTCTCTAGCTTGGGTTTGCTAATGTCAGCAACGAAAAAAAATTTAAAAATCGAAAAAAATACTAAAAATTTCAGAATTTTTTTTAAATAAATACTTAGTCGTATTTTTCACTTCCCACACTAAAACTCTATACAAATTTCTCTCCTCATATCTCATGTGAATAGTGGTTGCTATGATAATGGGTGGAAACACACAAGTCTTTGCAAGGGTTGCCACTATTCACGTGAATGGTAACAGTCCTTGACTTGCCCTTATCCTTTGTCATGGCAAATAGATGGAAGTACTCTAAGGGAAGGGTGAAACTAACGTTGGTTAATATTGACGGTAACGTAATGCGTCAAATAGCTCTGAACACTTATACGGTCAAGATTACACCAAATACTACAGCTCTATTCCTACTCAGCGCCCAACATTCTGCGAGTTTTTTTTTTTCTTTGGCTCTCAGTCTCAAAGAAGCCATGGCCATGGGGTTTTTTGTTCAATTCACTGGGTATTTTATTAACTCCCATAATTTCTCAATCGTGAGAGAACAAGTAATTGCAAAAGACGATGGACTACCACACAAGAACAAATTCTAAAGCAAATATCCGAAATTTAAACATGTGGGTAATGGATAAAGATCTTAGGCGGTGAGGCTAACGTCCACTCCTTCTTTAGTATCTTTATCTAGGTGTCGTAATATCATAGGTGCATGCTACCACTAGACAATGTGCTCAAGTTAAATGACATCCTAAGTACTGGGATGAGGATTGACCAAAAAAAAAAAAAAAAAAAAAGTACTGGGATGAGGAAATATCATAGGTGCCACCACAACTTTTTCTCTCCGAACTTTAATTGTCAAATGATATGTCCACCTCATTTCATTGTCTACCTTTCTCTTTCATATCAGTGTGAGAATTTCACAAGGTTGGAAAAGAACTAGACCATAACTTTAAACTTAAGTCAAGGTTTCTGAATGGTCATTTTAACGATTGTACAAGATGTTCAAATAGACATGTAAACCAATAGTAATTATGCAAAGTGTAATTCATCGAAAACCAAAGGTAATTCACAAAGAGTTTTATTCTTTTAAATTTTTTTTTAATACAAGCGATGATCTAAAATACAAATAAATTTTTCTGGTAGTTTATACTATCACTTGTTCTAAATAATAAAAAAATAAAAAAATCCATTTAGAGTTGGTTGATATTAATTAAGTTAGGCGCACATATCCGTAAACATTCCAAGCCTTGAAGTTGAAAACATCATCATAAAAAATAAAAATGAAAACAAAAACAAAACGCTCCACTTTAATTCGTAGTACTTCCTGTAGAAGTGATTGGATTCGTACACTGATCATATGACAAAATATCAACTGACCCGTAAAAAAAAACAAAAAAATCAACAGAGTTTAGCATAAATGATTGACCAAATACAGACAAGGTAATATGTTAAATGAATTTTTGTAGAAATGTTGTGGGTGCAAATATTTCGGCAACTAATCATGATGCACCACATGCGTGGGAACAAATATCTTGGTACTCCAATAGTAAGGCGTCATGTGGACAACAAGAATATCTCATATGCCAATAATCGGGCCCATTTATTTGGGGGATTATTTAGGCCAAATTGGGATAATTATCATCAATTAGGTATTTGATCCTAATTGAAATTCCTAATTGACTCAATCTCTCAATTTAAGTGAAAGAATATTTTCCTTCCAAATAGGAAAATATTCTTTGCAAAACCCTAGGACACAAGGAGCCTATAAATACATTACTACACCAAACATTCAAGGTAATTCAGCTCTCTTTCTCTCACACCACTCTTGGCTCTCTCTCCCTCATGGCTCCGGCCACCCGCACACACAGCTCTCCCCATGAGAGAAGACCTCCATCTACTTTAGATATTGTCATATCTTCATCAAGATTCAATTAACATCTCCTGAGTGTGGTCTATTTACTCATATTTATATCACAGGTATCAAGGAAGAGAGAGAAGAAGCCGCGCTGGAACCGATTTAAGCTCAAAAAATAAAAAATTTGTCGGAATTTGTAAAAATAAAATAAAATAATATCCGATCCAAAACCCAAAAAAACAGAAATCGCACTGGAACATATTTAAACCAGACCGATTGGTTTAAAAAAAAAAATTCACCAAAATCTTACCGAACCACACTAGTTAAATAGTACCGATTTTGATTCCAGTGTGAGGTGAAAACCAAACCTGACCACACCGCACCCACCCTTAATAGGAATATTCCTTAGGTCAACAATTGTACTCCATTTAATTGGCCAATTGTTTAGACTTAAAATATGATAATACCATAAGTTAGGGATTTGGTTTTCATTAAATATTTAAATGATCTAATCTTTCCATTTAAGGGAGAGAATAATTCCCATATGGAAGGAGAGAGAGCCAAGAGTGGCTTGAGGGAGAGAGACCTCACACGGCTTCAGCCACTTGGTTCTCTCGTACTGTATAGAAAACTCCAAACGTCTCTATTATTTTCGTATCTTTCTCAAGAACATCAAATTGACCTAGGCATCGGGTGTGGTCTATTTACTCCAGTCTATTTCGCTCCATGGTAGATAGAGGAAGGTAGGTGGTGGGCTGAGTGAATTTGTGTGTGAAGGGTAGGTGTTTCATGGTAGATAGAGGAGGAAGATGTTGTGAAGAGGAAAGGGGGAATGGATTTCAAGGTGGATGGGGGTTGGTTGGAGCTGCCAATGGTGCATAGGGGGATAGGGGAAGGTGAGATTTATTTTTTTTTCAATTTTGTTTAAAAGATAAAACAAAAAATTATAATGATTTTTCCATTTTTAAAATACCCTTGAAAATGGAAAAACTAAAATGCCCTTTTAAATTGATGGAAAATTGGATGGTGTTAAAGTTAGATGACAAATCATGGATTTTGAAAAATTAAAGTGACATTTCTCTTAGGGCACGTTTACGTATTAGTAATGGACATGGGAGGAAAAAAAATGATTTCCATTCATGACTTCCCCTGTGTTTACTTGCAATCAGGAATGAAAAAATAAGTGGGCCCCACCTCAAAATCCGTAATGAGATCCCCTCATAACTAGGCATTAGATCAACTAGGGGGGAGTAGTCGATACGATTCCCGTTCATGTTTTCTTTTAGTAACTTCCAAAAATACCATTACCACTTTACCATAATTCCAAAACACCCCAAACCCTAAAAAAAATAAAAACTCAAGCCAAGAAGTTCCAAGACACTCCAACCCTTAAAAAATAAATAAATAAAAAACTCATTTCCAAGAAGTTCCATGTATTTAATGTATGAAGATTATGCAGGTTATTATTATTTCATTGTTTACTAGTTGCGTAAGTGAAAGATATATATATTTATTGGAGTTTATTTTTTTGTTTGAAATTGGCTCTGGACAAAAGTGTTATTAACATTATCATTGAACTGGGCTCTTGTTGTTCATCTTGTTAAGCATATTGATTCCTCATGTTTGCACCGCTTTACTGGTTTGCTGCAGGATTAGTTTGGTCTCCTTAGGCAATTTGAGAATTATAAATGTGCTCTGATGAAAATGTGTAAGGCATTTTAGTAATCAAATTAATTTGGATTATGATTCATGAAAATTAGTAAACAATAACAATAGGAATCAACCTCATTCCTTTGCTAATTCCATATGTTTAGTAAACAGCTTAATGGGAATAACTCTTCCCATACCGATTATGTAGTTCTCTGATTCCTTACTTTCTCCATTACTGATACGTAAACATGTCCTTAAAGTTTTATTTAAGGTGACAAATTGAGGTATAAATTCAAGTGACGTTTTTACAAAAACCTATCTTAAATTGGTACTCAAAATCAAACACTTTTCCCTCATGTTTGTGCTAGTTGGTTCGAGTTATTTCACACTTTAACACGATCTCTCCATAGTATAATGTTAGAACTCAAGATCCCACATTTAAAAAAATAGCATATCATATAGTGATTTAAAAGCTCATGGGCACCTTTTCTTTATAAACCGGTTTTTAAGGAGCAAGTTCTACTCTCCGCGGTGGAATCCATTTTGAATTTGATAAATGTATTGCTTGTGAAGTATGTGTTCGTGTATGTCCTATAGATCTACCCATTGTTGATTGGAAATTGGAAACTGATATTCGCAAGAAACGGTTGCTTAATTACAGTATTGATTTCGGAGTCTGTATATTTTGTGGTAATTGCGTTGAGTATTGTCCAACAAATTGTTTATCAATGACTGAAGAAAATGAACTTTCTACTTATGATCGTCACAAATTGAATTATAATCAAATTGCTTTGGGTCATTTACCAATGTCAGTAATTGACGATTATACAATTCGAACAATTTGAAGTGGTTTCATTTAACATAATCTCTATGTAATAGGTATTGTAAACTGGTACCCAGTATCAGACATTATTTTCTCATGGTTGTGCTGGTTCTAGTTATTTCACACTTTAAACAACGTACAAATATATATTTGTTTTCTTTGGTGAAAACTATAGATTGTACGAGCAAAAACCGATTGCTTTCTTTGTTTTCTTAATGCAGGTACGGCCAAATTTGCAATCTCAAATAGAAGGGAAAAAGGGAAAAAGGGAAAAAGGGAGGGAAATATGAGACAAAACGATGAGAGGCTTGATTGATACCTTTCATCACATCACAAATTCATGACTATAATCATGCACATAATTCCACTACCGTCCTTATCCGATAGTTGTTAGTGGAGCTTTATTATAATTTATAAGCAAATTGAACAAAAGTTACAACAAGTTTGAACCAAGTCCTCCACTATGGCCTTAAACAAAAGGCAAATATGAATCATCACATCACAAATTCATTACTATAATCATGCACATAATTCCACCACCGTCCGTGTCCGACAGTTGTTAGTGGAGCTTTGTTATAATTTATAAGCAAATTGAACAAAAGTTACAACAAGTTTGAACCAAGTCCTCCACTACGGCCTTAAACAAAAGGCAAATATGAATCTCACATGTATATTGAATTTCACATGTAAATATTAGTATGTAAGATAACTTAGAAAACAGAAAGAATACCTATCTTCGTCTCCGCGTAATAAGGACTTCCAACCGAGATGAATATGAGCCCCACAGTAGGGCCCACATGCATCACAGACAGTATCTGCCTAGTACTTCAGTTACAAGTCACCATTCACAGTAAACAAAATATAAGAAAGATAAATTAAGGTCATTCCATTTGGACAAAAGACCTATACCCAAATTTCAAAGATTTGGGTCCAAAATTGGCGAGAAGAGGGAGGAGTAGAAGTGAGAACACCTGGCTGGCTGGCTGGCTTTCAAGTCCTATCTAACTGGATACTGCCATGTGGTGAGGTTCTCGTTTGAATGACAACTTGCCATGCTTGCTTCCTGTAACCTAGTGAGCCCTTAAGGTGTTCAAATTAGTTTAGCAGTAAGCACATTTCCTCAGTTGCCTTTAAACAAACATTCTCGAGGTAACCCGAACTCCTTTTTAACATGAACGTGTTGCCTCCAAGGGTCGTTATGCAACTTGTAATGCAAAACCTGATTAAGGTGAGTGGACGTTGTCAGCGAGTTCATATTCTAAGGAGACACACATAACCATATGTACAGTAGCAGATTTAGACTGGCGCTTGACTCTAATCTTGAAAAGTTTAAGTATTGATTTCATAACTTAAGTAGTTGTGTAAATTTTAATAAATGACTAAAGAAAAATCAGATATCCTCTACTGCATGTGTGTATCCTAAAGCTTCAATTTTCCTTGAAAAGATTTTTGCCAAAATATTTTATATCTTGTTTAGTAATTCCCTAGGTTTACACAGGCAATCACAACCTAATTCCATCAACTTCCTACATGCCCTAAGATTAATTACAATCTTTTTTTTTTCTTTCTCATAATGTAAATGTATTTTTCAACCAAACAAACAATTACCACTTCATGGTTGACCTATACATTTAACTTTCAAGATTTGCTGGTATTATAGTTACAGTTTAGAGCAAAGCTCCAGTTTAATGAAATTCAAATGGTCAAATCAACTAACATCTTTCAACATAGAGTAGGAAGATACTCACCTGTACAAATGTTGCAACAACATCATCTTCAATCAATTGTGAGAACTGAGCTGCCCAATCTGCCATATGGCCAAAATCAGTTTTTTGCCTCTCAGCTTCGAGCATAATAGAATCACGATACAAAAACCTCTGCCAAATTTTCTGCACATTTGCTAGCCTGAACTTTATTTCTGTCTCATTATATGCCTACAGGATTTAAAAATCCAATAATCAGTCAGCTTAATGCTGCTAAACTTGCAATCAGAAGCTTCATTGTATCAATCAAAACTTGAAACATAAAAAGTAAAAAAGATTTACCCGAAGAATATTTATCAAATCTGGAATTTCGTCTTCACGTATCCGAACAGCAAAACTATCATAGTTGAGCACATTTTCATATGGCAGGAAAATTCCATCCTGAATATGAGGGAACAAAATAGAAGAAAGATGAATATAGGTTATTATCATGGTTTGGAAGCATGCAATCTCATAGTATGACACGATGCAAACAGTCACTAACTTACAAGCATCTTGAAGTAAGTGATAAGCTAACCAAATGTTCCAAGGCTCTAATAAAACAGCAAACAGCAATAAACAAATGTAGACAACTAACTACCTGAATGACAACAGGAATGCACCCTTGTAAAATACTGTCTTCCATACGACCACTCCAACCATCTCCGGGAAATACCCCGCAGAAGATAGAACTGGCTAAATCCCCGTGATAGTTTTCAGACCGTAGCGGGGTAACAATCACATCTTCTGCATGTTGTTTTCCAAGTTTCCCTTCCTTGTTAGGGCTTGAACCAAATTCTTCTGCCAGCTTCTGTCTGATGCCCATGCTATAGCTACATAAATACCCCAATTTTTTTTATGAGATCATCTGTAAGTTGTGCAATATACTATCAGTAGTGACTCAGGAAATTGAACATTTCCCAACTCCATAGACAACTACTTTCCAGAAAAGCTCATAAATCTTCTCCAAATGTAGCACATAGAAATGGGAAGGAATGGAAATAACTGTTGGTAAGGTTCAGTCTTTACAGGTTGTCCACAAAAGAATTTGAATTGACCCACCCTAAGACAATATTTCTAAAAAGCTCTTGTTTAACTTACAAAGCTTCTGGTCTTCCATTTGGGTAAGCTGGTCCCAGATTTCCATTGAAGTAGAACAGTGTTTTCCGTTTGTCATGGGATCTGAAAATAAGGTATTGAATCTTTCCATGGATTAATGGTCATGGTTGACTAGAGCAACAAAAGCATTGAAAAGGAGACGAACAAGAAGAAGAAAGAAACCAAGGAAACGAGAGTATGATTTCCATCAGATGTGTACCTAGCCCAAAGTTTTGAGCTCAAGGAGTTGACATCAGGACTTTTCCAGGAAGGAAGTACAAGATCTTTATCAGGGTCAAAGCAGGGATGGTTACCCCTTTTATCATAAGGAATGGCATCCCAGTTGTCAGCCCAATAGGCTGTTGTTGAATGCTTATGTTTTGAGTTTGTATTTCCCCAGTGAACCAACATCATGCTATTCCATATCTCCTTGGGAGCATAGCAAGCACCTTCATCCCATGAAAAAAACTGCCTTCAGATACAGAGGTGACAACATTAGCATGCACACTTAATAAAATGCTCTAACTAGGAAAAGACAATCACTCTTTCACTCCACACTGGCCTCATGTAATTTTCTCATTTACATCATACCCAAATATGGTCTCTTCCAGATGAGCGGTTCCAGAAGGGATACTGTTCAACAATGTGATCATAAGCCTTCCTATAATATTCCAGAGTGAGAGAGCTCCTCAAGCCCTTGTGCTCCTAAAAGTTTAATAATAAGCATACCAGTAAGCAAAAGCCAAACCAGAGAACATTGACTTGGCAAACCAAGATGTGAAATTGCAATTTCATACGCATTTTAACAATTACATAAAGCATACCTGCATACTCAAATGAGGAGCATCATCAGCACGAGTTATAATGCATGAATCAAGAACAGGAACGAAGAAGAAATCTGCTTCTTCACCATTTAATGTACGATATGGACTAGCCAAGATACTTTCATAAAGTGCAACCTGCAAACAAGCAAGAAGACAGATGAATATTCCTAAGAATCTTCAATTTTACTCCAGTTTCAGTTCAAGTAAAATACCTGGGCACCATACAGTTGATCTGTCCACAGTGTTGAATTTTTGCCATCATAGATTCGGTTCACACACTCTAACCTAAAGTGACGCCCCTACAACAAGAAATTGAGAAGAAGAAAAAATAAGAAACTTGCTTTTGGCATAAATTAAGAAACTGTAAGTCAAGCTAATCCTGACCTCGAGAAGTAGGCTGTTGAAATCTGGAGGCAAATCATAAACATATATAAGGGGCCTTTTCTTTTTCACAACAGCATTGAGGTTGACAACTTTCCCTGGGAGATGTGAACTATCAGGAACATCAACCTGAGCAGGCCGAAGCCATTGAGGCCACTCTCTAACTGATGATGCAACAGAGGGAATGCTGCAATCTATTCCATACCAGCCATTGTCACACTGGAAAGTGCACTCAGTTAAGGCAGGAGATATTGACAAAAGAGGAAACAGAAAAATAAAATAAAATAAAATAAAACCATGGGGTATTCTTATGATGTAGTATGATAGTATAATCTATTGATGAACTATAAGGAACTCACAAGGAAACAGAGCAAGATTGGGAAATTATTGTCACCAAAATACTTCCAACTGGTTTCTAGTTTTAGTGCCTAAGAAACTTACATCACACAACTTAGACCAATATTTATCACCGAACATGGTTAATTGTGGATTTGCATGCAAAAGTTAAATTTTGAGTATTTCTCCTCTTCTGGAGCATTTGACTCCTAGGATTATCTTTTAGTTCTGTCTTAATTGATTAGAAAAAAAATGCATGTTAAGGTTGCATGTTAACGCTTACTCGTATTTATTTATGCATATTACTACTTTTAATGATTCACCAAAAACAAAGAAACAAAATATTCACTGAGTTGACAAAGAAAAGTAAAGTTGATAAGCAAACTATAGAGACTAGGGTAGATGCTCATACAACTTTCAACATGTTGTGAGCAAAAAAGTCCTGCTTGAAGGAAAAATAACTCTCCAAGGATACTCGGAGGAGGATGTTTGACAAATAAAACAGTATTTTTCTACCAAGTCAATCTTTGATAGTAGGACAGGCTTACTGAAATATGGTATCCTCTTAATAGAGGCATATGACTAGAACTACCATAAGACCATAAAAGCATACGACTTATGAAGTTGATAATGACTGACACTTATGATCTAGTTTAAAGAGTTTTACACTATGAATGAATGTGTTAAAGGGAATAGCCCTGTGCAGAATTTTTAACCTTGTGATTGTGTGAAATTATCAGCCAAACCCATTTCTTCTTAATCCCCAATTAAATTTGATATATCCGAAGAGGAAATGTTAGCCCATGTTGTTCCTAGTACATGTTTATATATTCGTTCACATCAGTCCTAAGTGTCTCCAAAGATTAATTAACTTTTAATATGTTGAACATCGTTCCAGGAAAAAACTTGCTGAGTTCTATTTATTAGCATGATTAACTTCTCATTTGTTCAAACAAACAACATTGAGCATCCAGGCAAAAGCAACCAATTGTTACCTGACAAAATCCACCACGGCAATGCCCATGCCCCGAGCATTGATTAATACAAGTGCATAGCACAGGCACTTCACAGAACCGCCCCCAGAAACAATCTTACACCATCCTGGTTTGCTACCATTAGTTGTGAAAACATTATCCAGGTCAGCTTTCGCCCAATCAGTCAGTTTAGGTGCACCAGGTTCAGAGGGTAACCTGAAACAAATGTGCAGGGATTTGTGGCATGTAAAATATTTCCTGACTTATTTATACCGATGGAAGCCTAGTTAGGATCTGATAAACTTACTGCACTTGAAAGCCACATGCCTCTGCCACAGGTCGATTTGGGTATTTTGTGCCTTCCCCACAGAAGCAAAATGCTCTTGTTGTGTCACAATGCGCAGAGCAAATGGAGACAACCCATCTCCCATATGGTTGGTCTGGTGATCCTGGGTAGTTGCATTCCAGCTGCAGTCTCTCAGAGCATCCGTCCCCTGCACAATTAGAACATATTATATTGATAGAATATGACTCATACAATAGCAAACTATTTCTGGTTTTTCCACAATATCAGAACAGAGTGTTCATTTAGAAACAAGGGGGAAGATTAGGGAGCTACAAGAATGTAAGAACTCTATGGAAGTGATGAAATGACAAAGTTTCCATTAGTAGTGATGCAGTAAGGGACAACAATTAGAGCCAAACAAAAGAAACAGTGACCACACAACCATTCACCAACAATGATAATAGATTAAATCACGACTGAAATACACCCAAATTTGGCTCTAGAGGAGATCTGTGTGAGTATTCTTCATAGGCTCTCTTTAACAGATTGACCTCTGCATGCCACACATGCCTCAATTTAATTTAATTTTTTTTTCCTACCTAGTTCAATGAGTGTTTTCATATCAAAGAACCATGGATGTCAAAAATTAAAACTCTGCCATTTCACTAAGCAATATTTAACCAAATATTTGTCTTTAAGATCTGGCATTTCTTTAATCTAGATCCGTGCTTCATAAACTCTCAGCATAAAGATTTAATTAAAGAGATAATGCCATATGATTACATCTTAGTCTGGTTTTGTGGTTCTTATATTCGAATAATAAGAAGCTTGAAACACTGACAAGTAGTGAAAAATTAGTCTGCTATTCACAAAAGTTCATAACAGAATTCTAGAGCAATATATTTTCTCATATATTCTTCAATCAGTATAAACATCATATCATGGAATAAAAAACTCACTGTCAACGGAATCATAATTCTTATTCAAGAGATGATGAAATTGAACATCAAGCCGACTTCTCTTTTCAACTACGTATTCACAATTTTCTATTCGATTAAATTAAATGAGAGAAAATAGAAATTATACTGACCACTGTATCCATGAAAGCACCGACATTGTCCCAATTCGCGATTACAGACGCCTTGACCACTGCAGTCATTTTTGCAGCCACTGCCACCTATTACCTACCAATAACAATTAGTTATATACGAATAAATACTCTTCCAATAAATTTGATACTAACCTCAAGGCTCAAGCCTTTAATTTCTGAGGGGACTGTAATTAACAAAGGAAAATCCATTTGCATGTTGATCAATTTACACATACAGTTTCCTTCAATGACTTGTGCAACACACCCCAACCCCCCTCTTTCCCCTCTCCATTTGCAAACATGTATATAATGCTGGTGTTGATCCCTACGTTTCTAGTTATATTTTAGTTCTTGTGAACATGATTCAACTCCCTTGGCATTTCTCACTGAAATCTTCACTCATGTAGAATGAAATGTTATGTATGTATAGCATTGTTCTTATTACCTCAACGATGTTGACTTCATCAGAAATTGGATCACAACCAGAAAGCCACCGGCCAATCTCAGCCTTCCATGGTGCACCGCGGAAAACAACTGCCTTGTGCAAGTCAGATGGAAACTGTCGATCTAGGTCAATAGGTGGTTTAAAATTTCCCTTAACATTATCAACAACTGCTTCAGCTGATCCATTAATTGGGACACAAGAGTTCTGAGCTTGACTGAAGTAATTGAAAGAAGGAACCAACGGAAACCAGAACAGATGAACTATCGAACCCAATATTATCGAGGCCAATGCCACAATAGAAGCAATCGTTGCTATCTGAGACCATGAACATTTCCACTTCTGAATAGAAAGCATTATCTCAGAAGACTCTGTTGAGACAAACCCACAACTATGTCTCCATCTTCTTGACCCCCAACCCCTTCACAAGCACCTTAAATGAACTAACTCAAACTCATCCCTATGACAAACACAAATACATAAAAGAAACAGTATCAAACACCATTCTTTCAAATTCTATCATCACTATTTGGCCAAAAAAATCTTGACAACTGAACCCCTTAAATCAATGGCGTCAACCAAATTTTAACAAGAAATTCTAGGCAGATGGCATTGAACAAGGAACTTCAAAGAAAGCAGCAATAAACCATTCCAAACTCCTCCACAAAAATAACAAACCCACCAAAAGTTTGTAAACAAATAATTCAGAGAAAATTTTGAGGTTCAATGGGCTGTTGTAAATCTCAATAGCACCAAAATCATATTAGCTCAAAATTAAATTAACCAACCTTTTTGTCTGTTTCCACAAAATAATATACCTCAGTTAATACAAGAAACTATAAAAGTGGATGCAAGTGAATAGGAGTGAGTTGTAGCAATCATAGAGCATTGACTGACCTCTTCTCAGATCCAGAATGGCAAATGTTGCAGAAACAGAACCTGAACCATGGAGCATGAAACAGAGGATTAGAAGGCAAAACAAAAAGATAGAACTCAGGAGAATAATTCAATGAAGGGTTGAGATTTAAAAGAGAGAGGGAGAACAGACCCAATTGAACAACTTCTTGCCCTTCTCTTCTGAGATTCCAGCGACACCCAGAATATAAAAATTGAAGCAATAATTTTCGAGATTCGGACATAATTATATATATGATGAGAGAGAGAGAGAGGGGCCGGTCTGATTTGGACATAATACAAAAGCCGCCAAGGTTCTGCCTGCAAAGTTTGTACCCAATAGAATGCTTTGGCACAATTCGGTTAAATTGACTGTAATTGCCCTTTTTATTTTCATTTCGTAAGTGAAACCGTTGGGTTCAAAATGGACATTTCTGTCAATGTACCCGTTTGTGTCTGTCTTTTATCTTTTGTTTAGTAACAACTTACGAGCTTTAGAAAAGGGCACCGACCAAAATAAAAAGCTTTATAAAAGGGAAAAGGCCAAAACGGGCAAGGGTGTGGGCTGGAATTTTATTTTATTTTTAGATCAAAAGGGAATTCATTAATCAATCATCAACAATAATATGTCCGGCATGGAGAAGAGTGGCCTCAATAAAATCTCTCTAAAGAAAAATTTAATGGGATAAAACTCAAGAGGGGGAAAAAGTATACAACACACGCCAAATTACAACTGAAACTTAAACAAGAACATTGGACTCAGACCAATCGTCATAAACAAGAACATATGCAAGTCAATGCCTTTCCACTCAGCTAGACCCTATTGGCAATGAGTGTATTCTTTGATGACAGTGGCACCAAGAAACTTTGGCCCCAAATTAATGTGATTGTATTATGAATTTATTAGTCTAAATTAGGTCGACTTCTTAACAAATCTTATTTAAAACCCTCTCTTTAAACTTTTCAAGTTTGGCAATGGCTATTTGCTCTAGTGACACCCTTTTAAAATCTTCATTGCATAGATAGGGATTGACATTTCATGGAAAGAGCATTTATATCCTCACATACGCATGCAACCAAAACTCAATCAAGGTAATTGATTGTTGATGAGACTTCAATGTATATCAATAATTTCCAAACCAACAAAATTTGAAGCCATAACCTAGACGAGTCCTTGGAGTTTGATGACCACCATTCTGGCATGTTAGCTTCAAAGTAATAGGAACAAGAGGAAAGTGAACAAAATAAACCAAGAATAGGAACCAGATCAATTAAGAATAAACCCTTCCTAATTTTTCTAATTCCTGATTTTTCGAATATTTAATTGAGGATTTTAAGATGGGATCAGTGTATTAAATGATTCTTTATGTGTAAGTAAACACACGGAAGTCAAAAATAAAAATTATTATCTTTTTCTTATTCCCATTACTTATAAGTATCGATTACGTCTTTCTTTTCATAACTTAAACGGATTTTATATTCTAGTTCACATGTGTCTTTCAAACTCTTTAGGTGTGTAGGTCATTGCCTCCAAACTAGGAATATAACAAATAATAAATTTTCATGGTTTTGTCTCTATTGACTATTGAGCCAATTAGATCTGAAGCAGAAGAAGTACATATTTTATTTTTTGGGTGACAAAGTCCATGTTCATCTGCAACGACATGCAAACCCTTCCTAATCTACTTTATTTATTAATTCGGCTCAAAAAGATATATAATTTCGGTAGGTAGATTTGGAATCAACTTGTAGAGTTGACATCGATCACATTTTTGGACATATTCTGCTACATTGTTTATTGCAAGTCAATGACTACCTCCAGAGTTTCTGTTCATTTTTATTCTTGAGAGTACAAGCCTTGTGGCAGAGCTAGTGTTTATATATAGAGGTACTTAGTGATATACTCATTCTTATTCTTAGCACTAATATTATAGATAAACCCTACACCATTAAATTTCTACAAACAAACCCAAAAAATGACAGCTGGCCCTATTAAATTTAAGTTTAATTATTAAATTACTTTGATACCCTATTGAGTATTTTGGGGTTTTTATGAGGTTTTGGGGTTGTGCTTGTTTTAAGAAATTGATGACAGTTTTGTAATTTATAAGAAGTTAAAAGCCTCTTTGTTATGTTGTAAATGAGTTTTGGGTGTGTTTCTAAAGTCCACTTCATATATGGTATTTTTATAATTTGAGCTCTTACATTGGGTATAATAATGAATCTCCCTTATATTAGGGGCAGTACTTGAAAAAGATATATTTTCAAATGAATTTGTGACCCTTAAGCATGCACCAAATCATTGTTCGAGCCAAGCTGAAGTATATTGGTACTCGACCTGGCTCGGACCATCCATATGTACAAGTTATTTGTTTGCCATGCTTACACTTTTATCACGAGAATTTCCTTGTTCCGTGGCTGGAGACCTGTCACTTGTGTCCATTGTTTTGGTTCTTTACACCGTCACTTGTGCCCATTGTGTTCGCATCCAATGCCTCACAAGTCATAATAATGTACACTGTTTTTTGCAGTATATATATTTTGGGTTTTATATAAGCAATATTTTTTTAGTACAAACAATAGTCTAACGGTGTTGCTAAACCAATACTAAAATTAACTGAGTACACTAAAATCTTAGTATACCATAATATTTAAATTAAAATATAAAATTAAGTAAGTATACCCTATTTAATTACCAAAAATTATTAAACAAATCTTAAAATTAACTGAATACATCCTAAAATATCAGTACACCATAATATTTAATTCAAAATATAAAATTAAATAAGTATATCCTATTTAACTACCAAAAATATCCCTAATACATCTAATACACTACCACACAACAGTAAATCCATTCGAGACTTTTCCCATCCGAGTCTTCACTCAAAGGACACACACAACTTTTGAAGATCCGAACCATCCATCAACCACCACGCACCCCTGCTTAGCTCTCTCTCTCTCTCTCTCTCTCTCTCTCTCTCTCTTCAAAATTAGGGTTCTTTTTTTTTCCAATATATAATTTTGCACTAAATTACAGTACAACCAATCTGATGGTCGAATTCTCCCACCTAGTTTCTGAAACCCAAAGCTTTGGGATTGGGTTTGGTGGGAAAGTCTCTGACTTGGGTTAGATCACAAATCATACTGCGGAAAATTCCCGGTTTTTGCTGGGTTTTTTATTTTTATTTTTATTTTATTTTTTATTTTTTATTTTTATTTTTTTATATAAAGGTTTTATGGGTTTTATTTGTGCCCATTTGATTTGATGACCTTTAGACTGAGAATTTAATCAGACGGCGCTGAGATTGTAACATATCAAATTTTATGTAGATATGATGAGAGGATTCGAACGCAAATACTTTTAAGGGTGATGTGTACTTATTAAAATTATATTTATTTCACTATTTGATATATTATTTTTGGTTATTTTATATAAGAGTAAATTAATAATTCAATAAATACTTTGGTAGTAGGGTGTACTCAGTTAATTTTTGGGTTCATTTAACAGCACTCTAGTTTAAACTACAAGGGGAGGGGGTTCTCACACACACACACCACGGTGCTATTGGAGTTTGAACTTAAGATCACTAGTCTGCAAATCTATACCCGTTTCTACTAGATTAGATCTCGTTGACTACACAAACGATATTGAGGAAGGGGGATACGATAACCACATAAACTCTTTTTTTTTTCTTGGCTAGAAAAAATAATTGTGTAACCTTCATATCCTGTTATCATAGCGATAATAAAAAATTTAAAAAAAATAATAATAGTCATATGTATGCACTCCAAATGCAATTTCAATTTACATCTTGAATTAGATGATAACTATAGTGTAATGGTTGATTAGACTTGGCCTTCTCTAGCTTCCTCTGTTTTCCCCTGTTCCATTGCTTAGGCTTCCCTTCTGTTTTACTCTGTTCCATTTCTTAGACCTTCCCTTCTCTAACAATCAGAGGGATCCTCTCTCTAACCCTCTCCTTCAAACCAACTCTCTCCGATGATCCACCTTTTCTCGAACCCCGTCTTGCCAATTTCTTCAATTCCGCACAAAATTCCGTGATTTGATTCAACATTGCCCGCCCTCCAAGTAAATTACTGGCGGAGAAAGTACTCTTTAGCTGCGGTTTCCTACCAAAATTTGATGAACTATGAGATGATTCATCCACCGCTTTCTTCTTCACATTGCTCGGATTCATTGGAGCCTTCGTTGTTTTGGTTTTCGAAAGTGGAACCGGAGGTGGGAAATTGGGATTCTTGTTCTCACTCTCTTCATACACATTGCATAAAGAATTCGAATTTTCGGTCTTCATCTCGGGAAACTCTGCTGCAGCTAAAGGTGGTTTGATTTCTACCCCTTTTACCTTCACATCTCTGATAAGAAAGATGCAGATATTGACAAGAATTTGCTCATCAAGCTTATTTCTTTTCCAAAACTTTCTTTGAAACCAAACAGACATATAAAGGCTTTCGTAATTCTACCTTCGATTCCTTTCCCTAAAAGGAAGGATTTCAGAAATGGATAAAGATCTTAGAAGCTTCACCTGGAACAAGAAAAAAAAAGGGATCATTCAGCAGACTTTGCAGAAGTTGATTATTATAATAAAAACAATTAAAAAACTTTATCTCTTGTGATATCAGAAAAACAATTACCACCTTTAGATTACGTGCTGATTTGAGAAAATCCTCAGTCGCCTTCGGATGGTTGCAATCTGCAAGTCACAAAGTGAATGTAAACAAAGCAGAGTTTTTACCCCAAAAAAATGAATATTCTGTAAACAGATAAAATGGAGTAATGAAAGAGTGGGTCCTACCAGGACTGCAGAACCAGGCTTCATCGCCAATGAGCTCATCTGGGCTGGAGAGGTCGACCCATTTAGGCGCTTCGAAGTTCTCGTACGTCTCATCTTCGACGAACACAGATTCTATGCTGCCCCAATCAATGTTTTCTGGGTCCATAAGGAACCTGCGAAAAAATTATGAATAAATAAACAGAGTTAGAAATTGGATTATGTAAAGCAAGAATTGAATTGGGTTTGTGAGGAGAATGAAAAATCTGAGAAAATTTAGGCAGATTTGCTCGGATTCTGAGAAATTCCCCGGAGATTTTGAATGGAATATTGAAATTTTGACAGAATGAGACAGAGGCTGGTTTTGCAGCGGTGGGGGTTTAAGAAGGAGCTACAGGGATTTGTAACGCCTGAAAACAGTCGGTAGGAATTTTAAAATTTCGACCGTTGGGAGCTATGACTTCTGGCCTTTCTTTTTCCATCTTTTATCCTTTAATTATTAATTTATTATTTCCTCACGGACCTTTGCTTCAATTGTGGGATGGGTTGGCCTGGCCCATTGAAATCAGTCGTGCGGCAGTCGAAACGACGTGGTTTTTAGACATAGGTACAAGATACACAAAAAGATCAGCACATGATATGAATCCTAAGTAGGTAACACACCAAAATCCTCATAGCCAAAAAGAATTTTAAAATATGAGGCCTATATTCTAATCTTGTTGCCCGTTATAAAAAAAAAAAAAAAACAAAATCGCTCAAATTGTCCAAATTAAGTTATTTAGACATAGTTATTCGCTTTTTACTCTAAAATAGTCTAATTTTAAACCGAACCAGATTGAATCATAATTTGTAATTTGATTATCACTTTGTTCTATTTGACTTTCTTCTTGAAATATGTTTTTTTTAAGGACCTTTTCTATTGATAAGAGTGATAATTACTAAACTTACACACACTATATATATGTTAGGACTTGAACCCAGAACCATACTTAAGAGAGTAAATACTCCAAACTAGGTTTTTGATTTATTTTATAGTATTTGCATAGTTTCTTATAAACTAGATAGAGAGCTAAAAAATTATGTAAAACTACATTGCCAAAAACTGTCTTGGGGAACTAAATTATACAAAACCCATAATATAGATCGCTGAATTTCAAAAAAAAAAAAAAAAAAAAAAATGAAGGGTTCCAATTTATGTGAATTAATAATATTAATGGGCCTCCTCATGTTCATGTTCATCTTCATGTTGGTGCTGAGGAGCATCCCCCTCGTCATTATGTTCTTCTTCATGTTTGTGCCGCGGATCACCCTCCTCCTCCTTGTCATGTTCGTCTTCGTTGTGGTGCTCAGCGCAGTTTTGAAGAGGCTGATCGGGTTGAAAGGAAATCGGGGCAGCAAAGCGCTTGTTCCCGAAGGCGACGACCCGTTTATCATTCGGGCTAGGCTTGGTGAATTTTAGCTTCAGCTCCTGGCTAGCGTCGTCGTGGACAATGTTTCTGCAGTCATCAAGGTTGCTCTCGAAAGCAATGATTTCACAGTAGCTGTTCGCATTTACTTTCTTCGTCACTTCGAATTCGTACATTCCTTCAGAATTAGTCTTCTTCCATTCCCTGTATGTTGGTGCTCCGCCCTTCTTGTCGCTGCATTCCAGGTGCACCTCTGCGCCTGAAATGCATATGTGTGTGTACGTACGTACGTGCATGAGATTTATCGTCCCAAAGCCCGTTTGATTTGCGGAATGCAAGTCTCATGCTCATTTCAAAAGGATGAGAATTAAAAAAAAACTTAGTCCAAGTACTGCACCCCAGCAACTCCTTAAATATTTAAGAAAAATATATATATTGCCTAGCCTGCCCCTTTAAAAATTTATGAATCTGCCCTTGCTTATGGACAAACACTCTATACATGTCTCCTATTTGGATATAACACATATGTAATGCTTTCAGGAATGTACACTTATGAAACATGAGAAAGCAATCTGATTCACATTCTCGTCGGTCTTCAATTCGGGAACCAACGAGGCTCTGATAAGTGATTTACTAACAAAATGTTAATAACTTATCATAAATTAACATGCATGCATTATCTTTACCTTCGATCACCTTACTAGACGTGGTAGGAAAACCGACATGGCAGTTGTCACAGTAAACCAGGCCAATAACATAGATTGAATCTGGGTTTTCACAGCAAGCAAAACCGAGGGCTGAGAAGCAAAGGGCAGAAACAAGGGCAATGGTACTAGAATACTTTTCCATTGTTGATTAATTTTCTGCTTATTGAGTTCTTTCTTTGTTGGAGATCAATTCAGAGGAGAGAGGGCACTCTTTTATAAGGGAATATTAGAGGACGTACATTATGGGGTTTTTGTGGTTAATACAATTATTTTGACCCGCTCTTCTGGTCTTGTATTTGCAAATTGAAAGTGTTTTATTAAAAAAATTAGAATTAATTAATTAATAAAACTATTGGTATTTGGTGAATACTAGGTTGATTTTCACCAATACATAGCTCTGGCCATCCAAATTATGCATTTTGAAACGCAAATGCTTTGGTTGCGTTTGTTTTTGCCGGGAAATCTTGGAAAACCTAAATTTTGTGAATTCATTTTGTTTTTCTATCTTCAAATATTAAACATGGTTTCTAATTAGATAAGCTTTGGTCAATAATAATGTCTACCCCGTTTGGTAATGTTTTAAGGGGTTGTTTTCATTTTGAGAGAACAAAATGAGGCAAAAACAAGTTCAGTGGCTCAAAAACAGAAAACTCTAAGAATGTTTTCATGAAATGAAAACAAGTTCCTTTGTACCTGTAGAAAACAAAAACAAAAAAGTTGTTTTCATTCTCATGAGAAACGTTTTCATAAAAATAACTCACATATTATTATTTCAAATTGTACTACCAGACACGTTTTCATTGTTTTTGTTTTCTGAAAATGTTTTCTAATTAATTTACCAGACGCATTTTCATTTACTAAAAATGCAAATTTGTTTTCTTGTTTTCATTCTCTGAAAATATTTTAAGAAAGCATTCTTTAAAAACGTTACCAGACGGGCCCTTAAAATTTTGACTGAGGAAGGAAAATTATTATTTTTTAAATGGTTGAGAAAAATCAAAGTGAAAAATGGGGATTTTTTTTTTTCCTTCTTTTTGGTAAAAAGTTAGGGATTCAGTAAAAGTGAAAAATGTCACTTTATGGTTGAGCCACAATAGAAGGTAAGGAGGAGTTCCTCCTTATGGGTAAGGAGGGAAGTATTGTCCTATTTTCTTCAGGGTGTATCTCAACAACAATATTTAATAAAAAATTTGCATACTTGAAAGTGACAATGTTTTGGCCAAAAAAAAAAAAAAGTGAGACTGTTTTCATTTTTATTTTTTATATATAATACTAAACACTTGAATAAAAAAAATTATTTCAACATCATATCCTTTTTAGTCATTATACACAGCTCACAGTTGTTTTACACAAACATTTACCAAACACTCTTAAATTGATTTTTGTATCAAAATCACTTCTAATATAAAGTCTACCAAACGCCAAACTACTTTCATTGACATCTGATTTCTCTTACAACAAATCTGAAAGTAATTATTTTGTAGCACAACAAGCCCAAAATCCCCCTAAGTTTCTTTACAATAGCCGACTAAGAGAAAGAGAAAGCTTCACGGATCCTCGATGTTCTATGATTTTTGACGCATCTATGCCGACATGGTCTTCCTTTGGCAGATCTATTAGCTTTACCATGAATTTGGGTTGGCTTTAGATGTGCCACATTTTGCGGAGCTGCTCTTTGAGGTGTTCTACTTGGTCATGATAGATCTACTATTGATTGGTGTGTTGGGGTCGTGGAGTGACTAAGTGGCACTCTCTATGTCATATCCCGCATGAAGATTAGCAGCGATTGTTCTTCCTTTCGTTGGCCTTGTTCTAGATTTTTAGTCAATAAGTCCAAAAACTCTTTGAGTTTTCTGTTTTTTCTCTCATAATTTCATAAACTTAGTTGAGTTTGCTAGGTGTTTTCACCTAGCTTAAGTCAAGTCATAAGCTTTTAAGGATAGAAGACATCAAAATAATTGCTTGTAAGTAGGGCGTTAAAATGATCGATTGTATGGTGAAGTCTAAGTGCATTAACAATGGGCTCCCTAAACAATCTTCTTAGACAAATTTTATGGAGGATTTAAAAAAATAGAACTTTAATCATGCTTCCTATCTACCTCCTAAAATAGGAAGACCTCTAAGAGCTCCCAAATTTGAGGAGAGAAAAAAAACTTCTAGTGGCTCCCTATAATTTAATGCTGCTTTGTTTTATGAGTATTTTAAATCTTTAATTAATGCTAACTATTTTATATATATATATATATATTTTTTATAGAGATTGACCAATTAAAAAAGAGTTACAGCATTTATGAGTCCCTAAACTAGAAACTATGATTGGAGTTAAAATTTTATAAGTAGTTCATAAAATGGCTTTTATATGTTTTTTGCAAAATTTTAACTAAAAAATAGAGAGTATAATTGTAGATGCTCTTGATCAAGTCCCTTGAAGCTTAGAAGGGCACCGTATAACCCTTCCCACTATGGATAGGTATCAAATCATTAAAAAATTAAAATTAAAATTATTGTCAAAACCCACCATTTGCATAAATGATATTTAATGATTCTCTCATAAGCTTTCAAAGAGATAGTCTGCGGGCATCTTGATAAAAGCATTTTAATTTCAACGTACTTGGAATGACGAGTTTCATTTAAAGAAGGGACCAGTAAAAGAATTGATTATTTCACCACCCAAAAAATAAAATTTACTCAACTAAAGGAGACTTGGAGAAATGAATTAACTAGCCCCCCTTATTAAACAAGTAGATTATCACACACCAACGTTATAACTCGTTAATCTGGAGTTACATCTTAATCATTTGCAAATATTATTAATAAAGTCAGATCATCCAAGGCAATTATTCCGAATCTGTGTTCATCGAACGTTAAAGGCACCAAATCCTTGATCAATCAAATAACATACCCAACCCACTCCAACATGAATGCGTATGGCATGCATGCAGGACAACATAAATTTGACAAATTGTTAACTGTGAATTAATCAGTATATCCCAAACGAAAAAAAAACTCCATAAAATATAAATGTTTGGATAAATTATATTTTTTTAAGAGACACGGGTAATAATGTACAGTATGAAATTGATAAATCCAGCGTCAATCATACGGGTTAAAGCATAGGTTGGTCACGAGGTATATCCGGGAAGGAGTAAGCTTTCCTTGGCACACAAAAGATTCAAGAACAATGTAGGGATCTTTTTGGAGAGGAGGGCTCTGCTCCTCGAAAAATTGTTCCCAGAAGACTCCAAGGAGTTATTCTTTAGGTGCAGCAGCCGGATCAACCAAAGCGCATTCATCCAACAGAGAGTTAATAGTCTCGTCCTTTGTATGGCATCTCCTGCAAAGACAAATCGAATACAGAATACATGAACAACTAAAAAAATCATTCTACAAGAGTTTTGACCCAGAAAAGTAACAGTAATCTTATCACAGAATATGCCTCCAGTGGACATAAAGACAGTTACAGGAATAGCACATAACTCTTTTTTTTAATATAAACATTACAAAAGAAAAATTCTAGATGAATTAAACTACATTACATCAGAACATAAAAATTGCTTACAGGTTGGTAGCTTGGCATGTATAGGACTTGCCTAGGGTGGCCAAGAAGCATCTGTTGCCCATACTGCAATTAAATGAAGAAATGTAATTAATGTCAGACATTCAAATTGTGCATGTACAAAAAATTTCACATGACCTTGAAAGCAAAGTCAAAAAAGAATTGCACCTGAGGCCCATTTGGATGAAAATATGCTTGGGGTGCTTGCATTTGCTGTTGACTAAACATAACAGGCTGGTGTGTGAAAGACGGTCCAACCTGCAAATTTCATGGACATTAATACATAACAAGCTGAAAGAAAATTTATCTATACAAAAGAAAAAGAAAATGGAAGGCAATTCAAAAT